GCCGCTTTAAGTACAGATAATAGGTGGTGTTTACCGCCGCGATGATCGGCACTATTTAAGGGTGGCCCGGCATGAAGCGGCCGATGGGACCCCAAATAAATTAAATTATCATGATAAAAGCCCCTTCTACCGTTCCTCTCCGCGGCACCCCCTCGATATAAGAGCGCGAATGGTGATTGTCCACTCGATAAAGTCGCCCTCCTCGTGTTTACCGACATCTGTCACGGTTTGCGCATTTTCCGATCCCGATCGGACGCGCAGCGTGCTAAAATGATCAATTTTGGCGGGACACGGTGCATTCGCGTGTCGATGAAATTAGGCCAATTCGAGCGCAAATATATCGCATCAAGAATCGCGCAGGAATTAATTATGGAAATTCATTATAGAACGATTCATGCTTTTCGGGTTTATATAAAGTTAATGCAACTGTCCAATTGTATATATAGTAATAATAAGGAAAAAGAAAAACGTTATACTGTGTAAAGAGAGAGAAACAATCTTCATGAATGTACAATATATACGTTGTTTTAACTACCTCTTTTCTAAATTTTTTTTACTGCTATAACATAAACGTGCAGGTACTTGTCGTTCGTACCATTTTGCTTCTCGATTATTTTTATCGACTTCGCGACTGCGTTTATTTATTGAAGTGAGGGGAGGAGGACTATTTGCAGTTAGTTAGCGCTATAGTTAACGTGGCGCCCCTACGATAGAGGGGTACATACCGTATGTTAGATGCCAACCCCCTCGATCGCGCATGGCGAACAAATTTCTTCGGTACGTCTGTAGCGCTCCGCCGATTAATACGACGATGGCTCAATGAATAATTATCGCGATGAGCCGGCCAATTTGACGATGAAGGGTGCGATAATTTATGGCGGCTATTTGTCATTTCTTAAACTTTTAAAGGATAATGGATGCGAGTCTTAAATGTCTAAACTTGATTGGCGTCGTTTACTTTTGTCCCAACCAAATTCAAATTTTGTAATCCCTGCAAAGTTAACAATTCATATCCACAATTTTGATATAATTAATAAAGTTCTGGTTCTCTTTCAAAGAATTCTGATACGTTTAAAAAAAATATTGGCCATTAAATATAAAATGCAAAGTTTCAATGATATGGACTGACAAGTTCAGCCGTTTTCGATATGCAATGATTGATAATAACTTTTTCATTTCAATCAGAATTAATTCGAGTCATAATTTATTTTATATTCGCAAGACAATGCCGAAAGAAATTTTTAATCTATAAAAATTGAAAAAAATTGTCGTTTGAAAAACTTGCAAATTGCCAGAAAACCTCTTTACTTTGATTTTTATTGTTTCGAGTATAAAATTGAATCGTCAGAATATTTGAAGAATTATCTAGAACTTCAAAAATGTCAGATATGTTTCAATATTATTATTATCACTAATACATTATTTTGTAATCGCTTGAAATTGATTATCAAGAAAATGTTATTTAGAGTTGATGTTTTTATCTCGAACTTTAGTTCTCTCAATCTTTTGACTCACATTGACTAAAAGTAATCATAGATTAAAATTTAACGACTGATTGTAGAGTTAATATAATCATAAAAAGTTTAGTAACTGAAAAATACTTTTATCTTGAATTATCTTGAACAAAACACAATAGAGATAAAACGATACGTTGCTGCGTGTTGAAATTTTTTGGACAATGCATAATACCGTGTGATATATGCAGCGTGTCACGAGCATCTAATGGGCATCGCGTAGATGGTGTCCGCGAACGATGAAATTGAAAAAGGGATATAAAAATAAATCATGACGGGACGAGCGAAAAGCGCAATGGTGCAAATAATAATTGTCACAAATCAGCGGGGAGGGAAATCATCGGTCAGGCCATATGTGCCCAGCGGGGGAGAGGAAAGAGAGGGAGCCCAACTCCACTTCGTTCAACGATAAATAATCCAATAAATGTGCTACAGTCTAAATACTAACAACTATCAAATATAGTTTCTCGCGTCCCTCGCACACGATCCTTGCTTACGTGAACAGCTGTCAAAAACGCTCGGTGAGCTTAGAATTTTTTTTACTCCATAAGAATAAAAAACATTAAACAGCAATATAATATTTCATGAATATAAAATGAATTTAAATTTACATGAAGTAGAAAAAATTTCATAAAAGATTATCTAACAATAAACTATTCAAATTTTGTTAAATTAATCGAAATTTTTAATTATGTTACAATTTAAATTTTCTCTAATATATTTTTATATATACTATACACACAGGCTTTTATATTTTTTAATTCTTATATGTATACTCAATGCTTATTCTTTTCATAATACTTGTGCTGCGTGTGTTAAATTTGCGAGAGCGCGTTGTGTAAGAGCCTGATAATACGACATCGAGATATCAGAAACTGCCGCTTATTTGTGTATCAGGCGTGAAATCATGCGGCCCTATATCAAAATACGCGGGTCTCTCCTCTTCGAGGGAGAGCAAGATCGTGCGTACCTGCTCGTACGCAGCTTAGTGAATCACGCGTGCGACCGGTAATCCGAATGCGCTCGACTAAACGCCGCCATGTGTACAAACACTGACAGCCGGTCACGCACTTGCTAGTTAAGTTACGAGGGTGCTTAAGCCATTGACGCAAAGCCCACCCCGCTGTTAATCGTGGAAACTCATCGTGGACATAACGTTCGGCAACAACAAAAACACGTGACAAAAATAACGATGTCTCTCGTATACGAAATTTTAGGCTTTTGTGTAAATATGAAGTACAGTATTATTTTTTAACAACTCCTGTCTTCTCGAATGATTTAATCTTGTCTGCCCGTTTTATATTTACTAATAAGCTAATTTCTAAACTCTATTTATAAATGACTTGTTTTGCGATTATTAAAAAATAATTGTAATAATTTTAAAAAAATATACAATGTTATAGTGATGAGATAGATTGTGTAATTGTATATATTATGGCATCTTATTAATAAGGAATAATATCATATTTAGAATATAGTTCTGGATGAGATAAATTGTTAACAGTCCACACGCAAAAAAATGACTTAACAATAGCAGCTAAATTTCAGTAGCTGAATCAAACTTAGCTGTAAGAGCTATCGCCTTAGTGTCATAGCTAAGTACTAGTTATTATAGGTAAAAAAAATTCACTGAGGCATGAAAATTTATTAGCTGAAATTGAAAGCGTATATTTACACGAGCAGCTATAAAGATAGCAACCGTACCTAAATTTCTTACTATGCGCATACATTGCGGAATATGCTTTATAGCTAAAACATTTAGCACGCGCAGCTAAGTTTATGGGTATGCGCGCGAATCTTCGATTCACAATTGTTTAATTGTTTCTGCGACGCTGTCATTGACAACATCGACGCGTTAAAATAGATAAAAAAAAAAAAAAAAAAGCTAATAAATTTAGCTTGGGCAGCAACAGTATTAGCTGTCCTTATTTTAAGGACACATTTTAGCTATCACAGCTATATATAAGCTCCTGTTGGTAATCTTTTTTTTCCGTGCATGCATCCATCCATGTATCTGTGTGATACGATGTACAATGCAACCGCGTCTCTTTCGCGTATGGATTGATTGCAATACTATCATGTTTGTATCGGCGATAATTTCATCAGACTCTGTGGCGTCCTACGCCCATGGTGCTATAAGTCGGCGATCCTCCCCTGACCAAGAGTCATTCACGGGGCTAATTGCAGGGGCGGCTTTCCGCCCTATCGTCTAACCCCAAATCATCCCCCGGTAATCCATAGGGATTTACACTCGCGATAATTGCATTAGCATTCGATGATTTTTATTGGATCGTCCGACTCGCGATAATGAATCATTTTCGCTCGCCGAACTGTTTGCAGGACTAAAATCATCAATTCGATTTGTGACTTTTGTCGCGCAAATTAATTAAAAAAATTTTTTCACTGCGAATTTTTATTACGCAAGGGTCAACATGACGTTCGTTAAAAAATTATAACAATTTGTATAATTATCTGCGATTGCGATACTGTATGAGATTTAAGAGCATGATTTAAGAGCATCTATTTAGTACGTGTCTTATTTATGGGATATTTCAATTTATAGATTATTATCGCAAATATTGTTACTCGAATTAATTGTAGCGTAATCTGTGTCATAATTGCAATTCTTTTAAATATAGAATATTTCTTTTTGTTATAGGTTGCGCGGCACAACATGCATTGCTGGGCAAGACCAGGAGGCCGAGGACGGCTTTCACGTCCCAGCAGCTTCTCGAATTGGAAAAGCAGTTCCGACAGAATAAATACCTCAGTAGACCGAAGAGGTTCGAGGTCGCGACGTCGCTGATGCTCACGGAAACGCAGGTAAATCGAGATAATGATGTTAAATCGCCCATTACCTATCTCGATATCCGAAATTCAATGACAGCCATGAGCCTGTGAATCATCTCTCTCTTTCGCGCGCGATAAGCATCGCGCGATTAACAATTTTTATTAGTCATGGAGTAGAGAGACGTAACGTAACGCGAATCGTGAATCATACATAATTCCACGATAAAATAGCTCTATGTAATAAAATGCCGTTCCCACTGCCGAAAGAATACTCGAATAAACTGGAAGTAATTTTTTTTTTGTCATAACTTTGCGGTGTCGCTTGACGTTATAACAGCTGTCAACAAGATTAGAGAATTATGCCTTTTTATACGTAACATCTATCTACTTTTTCAAAACTACGAAAGAGTATTTTTGCATAATAACATATATCCGATCGAAATACGTAAGATAGTTAGTTTGCGAAGAAATCGTTAAGAAATCCAATCGGTTATTTTCCGAGTTAGAGTTGGAGTTAAGTTAGCTCGTCGAGAGTCGCTCGACGAGGAGTTGAACGACGTCGGTTGGTAAATAGCGCGAAAATGGAAATTCGCGAGGTCACGCGAGGAGCGCAGGACGACGGAAAAAGGAAGAAGACCCTCTTCGAAAGAGAGAAAATCCCTCTCCGAATAATCCGGTCCGCCCTTCCTCCATCCGGGGCCGGCCGTGTGCACGCGAATCCTCTCTCGCATAGTTCAACAACTTAAACATAACTCCGAAGCTTACGAGCCCTGACGGATCGCTCGGCAAACAGACGTGAAAGTCTGAGTTATGGCGGGCTCAGTCGCTGATTTGTTTCGATATTTTACCGATTCTGCCTCGCCTCCATCTCGGCCTCCTTCCTCTCCTCCATCCTCTTCCTTCTCCCCCGGTCCCATTTCACGTCTGAGTTCCGCGCTTGCAGAAACGCGATTACCAACGATTTACCGTCCAAGCGCGAGCTTGGAAACACGTCGCGACGTCCGACGAAGAATATGTTTATTTGAAAAAGGCGAAAGATTGCATACTTCCAATCTCTCTTTCTTTTTATATATAAGTATATAAATTTCTGCCGTTATCGAGGCAAACAATTTTGTTAGTATTATATCGGAGTATAATGTCATTATCATTTATAACGCAGAAATTCATCAAATCCACTATCTCTTTGAAAGATTAAATACGTAATTTTTCAATGCATTATGCATTCTTTAATGTTTTCTCCAGACGATCGTTTGCCTTTGGACTCTTACTAAAGCGATTCGATATTTGACTTGCGACGTTATTTCTCTCCGACAGCAATTTCCTGCTCGCTGGATTAATTAAGATCCGATATAATATTCGCGATTAAAGTATCATACACGAAATCCACGATCGTAATCATCATAATAACACGCGAAATCTACGCCACAATGATCGTTAGCAAGGAAAATATCTTCGGCAATTAGCGCGATTGCGATCGAGATGATATCGCGATAGAACTCTCTTGGTGTTTCATGATTCATTCGTCGTTCGGTTTCCCGTGTACAAAGTGTCGACTAATTTCGATTCGTGAGATAATTTACAGCGCGATCTATTTCTCCTCTCTCCCTCCCTCCCTCCCTTTCTCTCCCTCGCACGCTCTTCATCGCTCGTCGATTTATCGACAACAAATATTTATTTTCGTACGTCGCTTTTTTTCCCCACCTTCGATCCATTTTTTTCGACCGACTCGCTCGCGCCTACAATTCGCGCCTTCTCGTTCCTCTATACTCCCCCACCCCCCCTCTGTATTCGACCCCCAAGTTTGTTGTTTACCTCGCGCTCCGAATTATTTGTTAACGCGACGCGAATGATTTACGTAAGTCCCTGTGCCGTAGCGTTTCGCCTATCAAATTATCCAGCTGATCGAGAAGCGATGGCACACCAGCTGTTTTTCTCAATAAAATTCTAGACTTTAAGAGAAATAAATATTTTCATCATAAACGCTTTTAATCTTTGAATATTGGATTACATTATGTTACAAATAATTATTTCATTTCTTCTTTCATTTGATGTGAAAATCTGCGTTTTTTAATAAATAGATTCTGTATATTATATATTTTCGAAATGTTAATTCATAAAGATATATTTTCGGAAAGTATCATTAGAAAGACTATAGCGTGTTATCATCGCTGATATATATATACTTTAAACTGTAACGATCAGAAATTTAGGATTAATCTTGTCATACGGAAGATTCTTCGCATCGCGAGAGTTCAGCGAAACGTTCACGGATTCTCCCATTCGTATTCGTACGAGAAAGCTGCGCTCCTATGCGGAGGGTAAAGATATAATACGGTCGGTGTGCCTGGAGGGGATTGGCCCGGGCGCATGATATGTTGTCCGAAAGATTTACATCGTTTTCTTACGATTGGGGAGGAAAAATCGAGTCCCTGTATCTGTCTACCTGATTTACGGCGTCTCGCGGGGTGGCTCACGTAACGTTACCCGCGCTTATGGAGTACGCATTCGCCAAATTAAATCGGGCGTGGATCGAACGCGTCGAGATTGAGACACTTATGTCCGCGATAAATCGTTAGATAATTAGCACTTTTCAAATTGATATCGACTCGAAATCAAACTAGGAAATTTTTCAATTTATGTAAACGTATCTACGAATAAATTTTTATCATTTAATATCAGCAGTGAATGTGTGTAGAAAGTCCAAAGTACTTGGACTTTCTACAAGGAAATACAAACATTATCGTTTATTTATCGTAGTATTTATATATAAAATGATCGATAATCACTTATGTAATTAATTACTTTATGATAGAATAGTTTGATGTGTTGAAAAATTAAAAACGTTAAGATAATATATGAGTCACTTTCATCTCTCAAAATGTAATTAATTATTACAGTATAATATCAAAATAAATAAATTTAATAGTTTATTACTTTCTTCGCTTCGCGTGTGTATGTTTTAAATAGTATTGAATATATTTTATTATATTTTATATTGAACACATAAATCCGTTTAGAAAATCTTTCTTTTCACGCAAAGGTTATTTCATAATTATCTAAAATTAAATGCGAGATATTCAGTCCCAAAATATTTTATCAGAGATATCGCGCTCGCTATAGTTATTAGTTCCCCGAAATCGCTTATCGCGAAGCAATTTCTTTAATCTCTCTCTGCGCCGCGAACGCTTCGATTGACGCGTAATAAATAATTTCGATAACTTCGTCCCGCATCGCGATCAATAATTACACGGTACATTTTCGTTGCAGGTGAAAATCTGGTTTCAAAATCGCCGGATGAAATGGAAGCGCAGCAAAAAGGCGCAACAGGAGGCTCGCACGAGCGGTAAAGTCGAAGAGACCGGAAGCGCGAGAAGCGCTGAGCGAGATACCGGAAGTGACATTAGCGTGAATGCACCTGAGACACCGGAGGAATCCAGAGGAACGCTTCAGGAAAGTCAGAGAACAGGAACAGATCTTCAAGAACCTTTGTATCGGCCTTACGTGGTTTAAAGACCCAACAGAGGCACGTTTAATTTTTGGGGAAGACCAACATTTTTCAAAATAAACTGCAAGCATTTTTACCGCTACAATTTTCTGTTTTATGTGTAATAATATTTTATAATATAGGTAAATTATAATATTTATTTCTGTTAATTATCGTGCTTAATTTAAGAAATAAAAATAAATAAAGAAGCAAAGAAGACAGGAAAAAGGACTACTTCTCACGAAAAATTAAAAAGAAAATAGATTGTTGGCCTTCCAACGATTAAAAAGATACGAATATCATCAAGCTTCAGAAAAATGATTATTTCTAAAGATTCGAATCTGAAGATTCTCTTAGAACTAAGTTCTGCTTATTAATTCGACCGCACAATTGTTCTTATATAGATACTTTCCTAATAAAAATCAAGAACGTTCCACTTCGTTATCGATCGCGATAATAATTTTGATAATCAATTATGCAGCATAGTATCGCCATGACTTACAAAAGAGATTGAAACCAACATAATTTTGATTATTTGTCAGTCAAATGCAATTGACATAAATTGTCACGTTTTTATTGTCACAAATAAACATAAGAATTATTTTTTTGTGATCGATATTATCGAAATTACTCGGGTTTTGATAAATATTTTGATTTCTGCTTAATATATATATTAATCATAATTTTTTACCAAAAAACGATTGATCTCTCTCGTGTATATATATCTCATCTCTATAATTTCTTGCACCAAAATTCTAATGTAAATAATATCGAATGAGATAGTATTCACATACACACGATCCTTAACGAAACCTCGCTTGTTAATCACGGTTATTAGACACACGAGCGTCATTGCTGATTCTCGAGAAGCTCAAAGCAATGAGATATCGGTGGTATAATCGGATTAATCTTTTACAGTCCGCCCCAGAAAAGGTGGATAGATAATTGCATTTTGAGAAAGTGTAACGATTAAAAGATTCATACGTTGTGACTGTGTGATTGAATGGTACACGCGTGACAGCGAAACTTCGCTTCGGAATCTATGAAATCCTCGAGACGGATGCCATTTAATCTAAATCCGTCGTGTACATAGACATTCTAGGGACTATTTATTCTGTGTTTGCTCGGCTTGTAAGATAGAGACGGCAGATAAACGCTGAAACCGCGACGTTGTTAATATAAACGATGTAAAGAGGAGACACACAGGATGGTAGGATCTCTATCCTGTCCAGGGTTATAAGTGTTATTCGTGTATTGTCCTGTATGAATGTACGAGCGAGAAGCATGTATTTATAGCATACAATGTGAGTGTAAATATTATCCGCATAGATTCTAAGTTAGCGATGCAGATACACGGTATGATTATCGCGAGAAGTTCCTAAATAAATTATGAAATCGAGTAAAAACTTTCGCTGCGTCCTTCTTTTCCCCTCGAATAATCTTCTCCTGATAAGAGAGAACGTTTTCCCTGTTTAGACTTGATGCTATTGAAAAAAGATATTATTTTATATGTGTTTGCATGTTTTATCTATTATACATCTTTGTCTCTAATAAGATATACATACGTTTGATCTAAAAAACAATAATTAGTAGAATTACACATATAATGTCATATTTGAAATTATTTTTTCGCGTCGAGTTAGAAGGAACAGTTTTTCCGGCGATTGCAATTTTGCAGAATTTCTAAATCAGATATATTCTATTTTCAAACGGATAAAAATATTACAATTATCTGAAAATATTTATATATGTATATGTCAACATTTCTCAAACTAAAAATATCATTTATTATTTGATTTAGCATAGAATTAATTTGAGTCAAAATTATATATTTTAAAGCAGTTTATTTCAATGTTCTAAATAAAATAAAATCAATTTGCATTTTTTCTGTTACTTTCATAATAAAATAATGCCAAGTCAATTAAAAAATCCGGAATTGTAATTCCCAAATTTATCAAATTTTACTCTTTGCACTTGAAACAATAAATGCCCGGATCCGCTTGTATTGAACCGCGTGTGCGAGGGAGCCGGGTCTTCCTCATGTTATTTGCATGATGGCCGCTGATTGGTATATGGCTTGTAAATGAGAGGCTTCATCCCCCCGGCGGACGGCCCGCCTGGCTGGTTGGTTGGTGCTCGATGGAGAACCGAATGTCGTGTTTCGAAAGGCATTCGAAGGAGCCGAGCCGCGCCGCGTCGCGTCATCAGTATTTATGACATGCTAATCCCCAGTTACGAATTCCGCGACATTCCGCGGGATCCGACCGACGGCGGAGAGTCGCTCGTTCGGAAAACGTCAGCGAGCAGCGCAAGAAGGAGACAAAGTCGTATTTGACGAACGCGGATCGATGTCACCGCTCCCCCGCGCTGCCATTTCCTTTTTCCGCCGAGCTCGAGAACGAAATCACGCGAAAATCGTAGACGCAGAGTGTATATGTATATCGATAAATTGGGAATTTCAATCAACAAGAGATACGTGAGTGTGAAGAGTATCGTAAATGCGATTTGACGTAACACGAGCTTGGAAAGGAAAAAATACATATAGTTATCCCCTCGCAAAAAAAAAAAAAAAAAAAAAAAAAAAAGATTTATGCAAATATATCTCCGCGAGATCAAATGGCAATAAAATTAATTTCTTGAAAGGAGTAACATTATCATGTACTAAGTTTAGTTTAAATATTTCAGATGATTCTTACAGCATTTTTTATTTTCGTGAAAAATGGAAAAAAAAATTATTCAAATCGAATTCCGGATCACCAAACATTATTAAGATTACACCACGGATACTCGTCTGAGCGTTCGAGTTTTCTCGCTTATACGTATATTTTCCTCGTAATTTTGTTGCCGCGCAGATTCTCGTCAATCTATTCCTTTGTTCTTATTACAGATTCGACTGCCAATTCTTACCCCCCGCTTGTCGTGTGCCTTCCAATTTTTCGTCTTCATCTTTCAGTCGTGAAAAATCCGCGGCGAGAGCAACTCGAGCGAGTTTTACCGGGCGTGATTATTTGCGAGGAAAAATCCGGGATTGCCCGAGACAGGGCACAGGCCAGGACGATCTTGGGAACGTTCTGGCATGGCGCCACGTCTCCGTTTACGCTATGGCACGGCGTGGCGGAAAAAGGGAATGGCCGTAAAGCTTTCTCGAGGAATATGCCGACGACCCGAGAAAGCGCGAAGGCGTGTTACCGTGACGCTCTCGAGAGAGAATTAGCATAACGGCCAATCCCGCTTCGCGTTTCCCGCTGTTCCTTTCTTCCGGCATAAACGGGGGAGAGGAAGGGGGGGAGGATTTATTCGAGTGCGGGCCCCGTTCGCGGACGGCAATTTAGCGAAAAACGTATTACACATAGTACGCGTCAATCTCGATCAATCTCGAATAATTGTATTTGTTCTTTGTGATTTATCAGTAATTTCACAGCACTCTAAGAAAAAATCGATGAAGTTGCTACTTGAATGTCGAAGATTGCTTTGCTAATTTTTAACTTATATATACACAGATGAAATTGAACTATATTATTTTTCTATAGGTATTTTATATACAAAAAGTATAATAATATTCAAAACTAGATAAATGCTTATAATATGATGTGTCATCAACGATTAGGAATATTATCAATTTTATTATTAGTATATTCGCTAATAAGATATGTATAGTTTGAGTGAATATAAATTCGAAGGGAGAGAGAGACAGAGAGAACCAGACTGGATTTACGATAAAGCAGATGAAGAAACCATTTAAGATGTGTGTGATTCTAATCTATAAGATACATCTCGTATCTTACTTTTAAAATGCTCGAAAGGCTTCGGAACTCTCGGGAGGCTTCAAGTTAAAATAGATTCAATCTTGGAATCATTTTATATATCCTATTTATAATTGCAAGAATCTCACCATTGCTTGACTGACGTTATATTTCGGTTAGCTGATTTCGCTCGTATCTTCTAATGGAGGCTCGTCCTCATCGAAAAGGAAGTCGAGAGTCGTCGCTGTTGCAGAAGAGGATTGCGAAGACAGTGTGCAGGAGGGTGAGAGGGAGGAAGGGAGGTAGTTCGAAAGGACGTGGCGACGACGAGGGTGGGGTACTCATGTTTATATGCATTGTATTGCTAAAACCCTTTTAACCGAATTACATTTAGCGATTCTAGTGCCGTTTCTATGTCTGCGTAACTTCCCTCTTTCCCTCCTCCCCGATCTCTCGCTCTCTCTATCTCTCTCTTTGTCGCTTTCCTTGCTCCATCTCGTTCCATTGCCCACCACCGTCTCTCTTTTACTCGCTTCGAGATACGGCGCGTGTCTACGTATGCGAAGAGCTACTCCATCCGCCTTCGGAAGATGCCATACGACGACGGTGGTGAGCTGATGGCGAGGACGATGGTGTGAGAGGTTGGTGGGCCGATGGATGGGCGGCGGAGAGCGGGGGACGGGGCGCGATGGGGCTGGATTCCAAGAGTCGGAGAACGGCATCCCTGAATCCCTGATTCTCTTGGTAAACAAGTGCTTGGGTGATTCACTGCTTGTTCACTCCTATCGGCCGTCGTTTGTTTCTAGACGCCATTGCGTTCTACGATTCTACCTCGTTTTCCGGTCTAATGGATTTTGGGGGCCGTCGAGGGTTGCTTCGAGAGTTTCTCGCGTTACCTCTTTCTTTCCTCTCTTTCTCTCTCTTTCTCTTGATCCGCAGACATTTTTAGCACCTTTCGAATACAGGTCCCCTTTAGAATCTTGTTCTGATGCTGTCAACGATCTGTGTAACGGAACGTGTCGGTAATAAAACGCGCCTACAATAGAATAGAATGCGACGGGGACTCACCAACGCGATAACTTGAAATTTTCATGAAAAATAATCGCATATTATAATTATTTTATATAATATATATATTAAACTTTAAAATGTATGTCTGAAATGTACATTAATCACGAATTTTTTAGTTACTCAAAATTAAGAAAATATAATTTGTACTGTTATTCTATCCAGTATTATCTCTACAGAGATTTATAATTCAACACATACGGAGAAGCTTAAGAAGTGTATTTAATGTTTTAATTAATTTTCAGGTTGGAGTTCTTAGATGTTTAAACTACAAACGATTTTTTATTATACTTTAATACAACGAGATATCTCAAGGGTCAATCGCCGCCATCTTCGACTTACAACACCCCGCGAGAATCACGAGAGATACGTCCCTGGCCTTGGCTCGCGCGCATCTCGCGGCAGAGTCCGTCATTAGCGCTAACAAGGTTAGCCTGGGGCTGCGGAGGGTGGAGGGGGCCGGTGGGGTGGAAGGAAGGGAGATGCCACCCTCCTCCAACGACCTACCCTTTGCTCGCAACATACACGCACGCGCGCGCGCGCGACACGTGCGCGAACGCGTGTGTGTACAGGCGCGTACACGTACACAATCTTGCGGCCGTGGTCTCCTTAGAACAAGGGGGGATAATAAGATCTGCGACAATCAACCCCAACGACGACGACGACGACGCCACCGAGAGAGCGTCATGACGCTCTCTCGGACGAGCTTTCAGGCGACGTCCGTCACGTTACGTGCACATCTCTTCCCCCATCTCTATTCTCTTTCC